AAAGGGGGGGGGGGCATGAGAATAGGGGGCCCAAGTGGAAAAATGTGGACTAAGTTAAGATTGATCAAATTTTACAAGTTTTCCGAATGTTTCTATGAAAATTTCGTTGTTTCCACAAAAATTCTTCACTTAACAAAATTTCAGTTTAGGCCGGTTTTTGCATGAACAACGCTATTTTTATATTATAACTGTGTGATTTCGAATTATTAAGCTAATATTAGATCAATTTAAGCTTACACGGGAAGCCTCCCAAGTGTTACGCAGGGATTCTGATGAAACTTATGCTAAATAGTAGTACCGGCTATCTACAACAACCACAAAATTTAGCGGCCTATATGAAGGTCTGTTCAGATGGCGAGCCATTTTATGATTTTTTGTGAGTTTGGAGTCGATACCATTCGAGAGACCACAACTTTGTTCATTTTTGTGGTGGACGATCAAACTTTTTTTATTCAAAAGGTGATAAATTGATAAGCATTACGTAATATGTTATCAAATGGCTGAGCAACCTGAATTTCTGCCATCCTCGTCGGGTCTGACGATGAATTATCACACAAATCAAGATTCTCAAACAGCATTTCGCATCTAAAGATTAACTCTTGAAGTTGAAATCTATTTATTTTGATGTTCTTGTTCTGTTTTTTTTGCAGTTTTTTTGACAACGTTTATCGAGATTGCTTAAAAACACATATACGGCTTTCAAAGGATTACAACTGCAAAGTAGATCAGTGTGATAATCATCTCACTTCAACCGCATCCATCTCTCCCCCAATAAGTCATCAGCATCTTCCTTTTTCTGGCTCTGACCTTGAAATCTTCGATCCCTGGACAATTGAGAAGCTTCTTCTCAAACTCCCGCCTCGTTGTGGCTATTCTCCCCATTCGGCCAATTACTTTATCATTAAAAAATGCGCCACCACTCTAGCACTGCCTTTATCGATTATCTTCTCTGACTCACTCTCCACGTCACATGTACCCGACTCTTGGAAACACGCAGTAGTCGTTCCCATACCAAAAAAGGTTCTCCTTCATCGCCCGAAAACTATCGCCCCATTTCGCTTACTGACCCATTCGCTCGAATTTTCGAACGATTGGTATGTGATCGCATCAAATGGGAATTCCTCCATCAATTCAGTAGTCTTCAACATGGTTTTCTTTCCAACAGATCCTGCACCACCTCTCTAGTTCAATCTGTCTCGAATTATAAAGCTACTCTTTTGAAATATAATACCCTAGACGTCATCTTTTTCGATTTCCGCGAAGCATTCGACCAGGTACATCATCAACTTCTCATCCGAA